AAATATTTTAAATAAAAATTTTTCAGATTTAGCAATTATTTTTTTTGTATTTAATGTATAAACTAAAATTTAATAAAATGAAGGTATTCTGGGATTAAATGATAAGATACCAAGCTCTTACACGAGTGACAGTGATTTCCAATGTTTTCCGAAAAAATTTGCTTCTCATACTGCAGTTGTGAAGACGAGTACCTCGAGTTCTTACTATTATATGCTATATAAACTTTATTCTACTATCTATTCTATTACAGGAGCATGTAAACTACAATGACTTCTGGTGTGTGATGTGTATACAGCTTCGCAGTCATTAACATTTTTTATCAAAGTTTGCGCTTTTATACTTTTTATTATTTGAAATTCTTAATTTTCTTATACAGTTTTAAAATTTTTTATTACACTTTAATTATCAAAATTACTAGCTTTATTGTTTTTGAAATATTTTCAACTATAACACAAGCAAATTCATACTGGTACGACACATTAAATTACTAATTAGGTGTTCTTAACATTTTCCAACCATGCTTGCTCTTCAGAAGAGCAGCTGCTTTAACTCGTTCTTTGGTTACATCATGTGTTTTTTTCAATGTTTCAGTCTGTCTTTCATGCCTACAATATATTTAAACATTTCAAAGAACAGACTCACTCATCATATTGAAATTTTGTGATTTATTCGAACTAAATCGTAAATTGGTTGTATCAGCGATTAATGGCAAAAATCCAGGGATATGGTAGTGATGTATGAATTAATTGTAAATATTATGAGCGTCTCTTGGAAGATTTTAAGGAGCCAAAATATGGCAGTTTTTTAATAATATTATGGCTCTTTATTATGAAATTGTCATAATATGATAATTGTATTGCACGTGTAATATTTTGCTTTATCCATTCAACAATAATATTACAATCTGTTGCAATAAATCATAAAATAAAATAAAAAAACATTTCATAATTTGAAGGTCTAGGAAAGTCTTACAATAAATTATTAATTTTGATATCAAAACAAAATCTTTAAATAATTATTTTCAATAACTTTTATAAATTGTGTTTGTAGCTATATAGAAAAACTTCCTACAAAGTTGTAAAAAAATTAAATAAAAAATTGTAATAAATGCATATATGTTATTTTTATATTTACAGGGTGTTTTTTAATGTAGAATTTCAGAATTTTAACTTTTCAGATTATTGCAAACAGATAATTAACTTTTGTTTTTTAATATTAAATACACAGTACAAGAAAATAGTAATGAGGGTAAAGATTTGGAAAACGCCTCAATTAGTTTTCAAACGTCTATAATATATTCATAATTTTAAATGATAAATTAAATTAGAAGGAAGTGAACCCTACTGAAATTAAAAAAATTTCGTGCACAAGAAGAAAATCGAATTTTTGTGCGAATTCAAATATTTGTTTTGACTCTCTTTGGAGTAAAATTTTGAACTTAATATAGAGTTTTCATAATTAAATTTATAGTTTTGCTTATCCTAGTTTAGTTTTGACTACAATAGGTCTTCGAGTTGTATAACACCTTGATATATATGCTAATATGAATGCAGTTTAGATATAAAAAGTTCAAAATCATCTCATTATCAGAAAAATATTATTAAAGTGAGTTGATTTATTCCAACATTGCCCTGACTATAATTCTATTTGATTGGTCCATAATTTAATTGCGAAGCCTACCAATTAAAATTCCTGAATTAATAATAATTATATATTGAGAAATTTCATTTTTATTAATTCGTATATTACCAAAAATTTAAATTAAATTTTATAAAGATTCACGCGCCTTTCAATATGAAGCCCCCAGATATATGCAAATTTTACAATTTTTATTTATATAGAAAATTTTATAACAATAAAAATAATTTTTAATTTTCTTACAAAATAAACGAAAAAAAATAGTTTTTTTTTTGATAAAATAAAATATTTGAAAATTTTCATTCATTATCAATTTCAATAAGAATTTTCATTTGTCATCACAAAAAAATTATATGAGAAATTACTTATGTAATTTTGAATATAAAGAGGATTAGAATTTTTCTTTGTTTAATACTTTAATAAAATATCAAAGTTAAACAAATTGAATTTTTAAGATTTAGATAAAAAATTTTTTTTCAATGATATTTTCATAATTTCGAAAGTTTTCTATAATAATTTCACATATCTATAGCTAGTTTGTTTTATTTAATTTCAAAACTAGTATAATATTTCAAAATACACTTCTATAGTTGTTTAAATATAAAAATAGCTGATGCACAAATTTCATTGCAATTTTATAATTCAAATATAAATAATTCAGAAACATTCCAAATGTTAAAGAATGTGCAGTTCTGTTATGTGCGAGATCAGTACTGGCTTTGGTAGAGTTGCAATTGTCTTTGGTAGAGTTTCCTAAGCGTTTGGGAAGTGCTGTCTAATTCCCTTTGGTATCTCCAGTTTTATATTTGGAATAGCGTGCGTATTACAATAAATCGCAAATGACTGAAATTGCTTGGAGGATATGTCCTGTTGCCTCATTCGGTTCCTTTAGAATCTAGCAATCTACCAAATCACATTAGAATTTCAGTGTTTCTCTCATAAATCGAAAAATATACAAAAAAAATTTAATAATAACTTTTATAACTCAATAATTATTCCTTAGTAATAAATATTTTTATAAAGTTTTTTCTCTTATAAAAATACTGTCATGCAATTGGTCATCATCATAAATAATCGCATTTAATACTCTTTTAATGCGCTATACTGATTTGTTCTCAATTTGCATGCCTTTTATATAAAACACAATTTGTATGATTTGTCACTCGTTGTATGAGTGTTGTGATACAAATTAAGAACATTATAACTTTTATATGAGCAATCATATTTAACTATGTATTTATGTAAAAATTACAAATATCATTAAAAATAAATCGAAAATTTTTGCAAATACATGAAAATTATTGTGAACAAAATAATAGTAAATTAAATTATTTTAAATACAAATAGGATCCGCAATATTTTTTACACTAAATATTCTGATTATTGTTATTGAAATTTCTTTACAAATTGCATTATGCAACTGCACGTCTGCAGCTTAATTCATAATAGCATTCATAATAGCAATGTTGATGTCGAAAGTAAATTTTATATTTAAATATTTCATTATTTTTTTTTTAATAATAAATAATTTTAATTAAAATTTTGCGTGAAAAATATTTTTGAACTAATATTTATTAAAAATGAAAAATAACAATATCTAAAATTTTTCAACGAATTGTTTATAGGAGTTCATGTGCTCCAATATTAATGGTAATGGGCAAGCATGTGTATGTACGTATGATAGATCTATACATATTAGGCAAGGATATAAAACTGTTTTATTATATAATAATTTATAAAAAAAAATGGTAGTGTTATTTTTAAAATTTATATAGAATTCTTAATTCTGTTGGAAAACTGGTATTGTTTTAAATACAATTCTTATAAGAGTAAAAATTTAAAAAGTTTATATTTATTTAAATTTCTCTTTTAAATAAAAAATGGCATTGATCTAAATTAAATATACAAAATATGAAGAGTAAAAATTAGAATTTTTACATATTATTTTCTTTATCAAAAATATGCTCATACTTCACTCAATAATTAATTATTTCTTTGGTATGTTAATCTTTTATATTAGTCACATGCCAAACTGAGAGAATTGATCAGTTTCTCATTGAAAAAGTTTTGAGTATAAAATGAGAATATTCATGACGTTGATTTTATAATAATACCTTATTGAGCACTTCAATATTATATTGCTCAAATATTTTCTTGTACGTAAACCTAAATTTGTTACTGTTACAACACTTCATATTCTGTTGGTACTATTAATGTTTGTTTAAAATCGATTTACCAAATAGTCTAAAAGCAAAGTATTGGCAATTGTGTATATAGTTTTTAATGCTATACAGAAGAAAATTTTTGTAATTACACAATACAACTACTTTATTTGAGTAGAATTAAATTAAAAAAAAAAAAAAACTTAATACTCGTTAGCCCCCAAGTAACTTGTTGTTTAATTACAAAAATTGCGACCTATATAGCTGTATAAACTATACTCTGTAAGCGATGTTCTATAAACTCTATAAACACAATGGTATTAGTATACTGCAGAAGTCTTTTTTGGTAATCATTTACTTATTTGCGTCATTTATATGGGACATTGGGATCACTAATTTCCGCTATATTGTCAATACTAATAACATTATGTCAGTTATAGTTGAACAATTTTTTTTTGAGAGAACAATTTTCACAGCGTTGAAGTAATTTTAGTATAATGTTGTTATATTTGAACTGTTAGTTATTCACTTGAAACATCTTAAGTGAACAAACACTCAAAAACTTTCAATGCATTTTTCATTTCATAACACACCTTGTAATCACAAGATATAATATTTTCCTTTTGTTTTGCTTTTTTTTTTTTACATAATAGTGTAATTAATATTATTATTTTTATATATTTACATTTATAAGCGATTGTTTTCTTTTAACAAATATGGGCAATATTGACTTTTCTTATGTAAAAAGCATAAATTTTGCCTCTTTCAAAAAAAAAAAAAAACAAAAAATCATCCGTAAATGGTTGACTTTTAATTACAGCATTTTATTAAGTACAACAAGAAAAACGAAAGCCAAATCTAAAAAAACAAACAATTAGATCTAGAATTTTTGCGCGCGATTTTCTATAATCTTCCTACATGAAAATTGAAAGCAAAAAAAAAAAAAATAAGAAAAAAAATATTAGAATAATTTAATAAAGAATTGAAAAATAAAAAGTGAAAAATTTATTATTAAAAAAATTAAAAAAAAAAAGTTATTATAATTATTTTATTGCCATTACAGAAAGCGCAGAAAAAGCAAAATTAAAACACAAAATCAGAAGCAAAAAACACCAAACAGCTTTTATTATTTTTCCTAAAACAAAAGAGTCAATATAAAAGCGGATGAATTTTAAGTAAAAAATTTTAGTTAACGAAAAGCGTTTGAGAAAATAGCGACTTTAAGAATTTTTTAATAACAAAAAAAAAAAAAACAAAAATTGTAAATTCGGATTTTTTCAAAAAATAAAAAAAAAAAAATATTAATAAATAATAACAATAATTAATAATTTTTTTCTAATTTATAATTAAAAAAGAAAAAAAAAAATTTTCAAAATTCGTTTATCAAATATAACGAGAAAATTAAAAAATTCGATTAAATCAAATCGAAATTCAAAAGATCCAAATATGGCATTAGTACCAGCACGTACAACAACATCAACAGATCCATGGGATCCAATTGAATATCGTCCACGTTATTGGAGAGATTGGGATGAATTTGATTTAGCATTAAAAGAGGCCCGTGCATTATCCGATTATCCATTATATCGTTCAAATTCATTAGCATGGTTAAATTTACATCATGGTTTAATAACAAAAGATGGTTTTAGAGTATCATTAGATGTACATAAATTTAAACCAAGTGAAATAACAGTTAAAATTGAAAGTGATACAATTGTTATTGAAGGTAAACATGAAGATCGTTGGGCCTATGATAAATTAACGAGACGTGATTTTTGTAATAAATATACATTACCATTGGGTTATGATCCATGGCAAGTAACATCAACATTAACAGCTGATGGTATATTAACAGTTAAATGTCCACCACCACGTAGAACAGCAATACAATGTTATAAACGTTATGTACCAATAACACATATTTAAGATTCAAAAAAAAAAAAAAAATCAAATCAAATCAAAGCCTGCGAATATTAATTTTTTGGGGTGGTTTTTGCTTTACCACAACACAAAAGATCAAAACAAAATGGAAAAATATTGTTTTAACATTAATTTTCAAAGTTCTTTAAAACATAAAACATGTATAGTAGCACACAATAATTTTATAAATTGTTAAAAATTTATGTTTAAAACCGTAGCCCCGAGCATATACAAAGGAAACCAGTTATAAAAATATACCAGTTATTTTATTTTTTTTTTTTTTTTGGTAATTTTACACCATTATTTAATTGAATTTTTGCCAATATATATGTGAAAAAGAAAGTGTTCTATTTTTAAATGTTTTATTTTGTAAATGGTTGAAATTTCATCGGGTTATTGAAGTGGTGATTTTCACTAGATGTGATAATCTACTAGATATCGCCTGAGTATTTGAGAAAAAAAAAAATAAATCAAAGTTCAATTTAGTTTTAAATGTTTGTTGTTAAAGTGTAAATCAATTTAATTATTATTTAAAAATCACAAAATAAATAAAAAATTAAAAAAAATAATTTCTAATTCTAAAAATCTGTGAAATAACAATAAAATTTCTTTAACAATGTCAAAAAATAAAGTTTAATATTAATAAAAAATTTGAAAAAAAAAAAAATGTTAAAAATAAATCGAATTTTTAGAGTTTTTCTTATTCTTGTCATTTTTATTACAGTTTCAGTTTCCGAAAATTTCGAGTTAATTCCGAATAAATTCGATTAAAGTTGATCGGTTAAATACTTCGTAAGTATTCGTAATATTTCGTTTCTACTATTGGAATAATGTCCAAAGAAATTCAATATCATTGAAATTTAAATTTTTTATAAGAATTCTTTTATACATATGTATACTATATTCATAACTGTTATATATTTACGTACATATTATATATATGAAATTAAGACGAAGGACTTATAAACTTAATATAAATGATTATTATTTTCTACAATTTAATAAGAAAATAATTACAGTAGAACTTTTATATAACGAACTATTTTGATCCAATTAATTGGTTCGTAATATAGTAAGTTATAACGTAGTAGTATAGTAAGTTCGATAAGTTAGAGAAAATTAAATAAAATTCAATTCTAAATTTTTCTTATGCTACAACAGTTGTTCGACAAATAGAAAAATTGTTTATATAAGTGGTTTACTGTATCGAAGTTTTAATTAATTAACATTATTTTTTACTTCTTATTCTTTAAAATATATTAAAATTATATTGATTTTTATATTTTTTTTTTAGCAGAAAAAAAGTCATGAGGGCCGAAATTTAAGAGAAAACTCAGCTTTTTCAAGACTTACTCGTATACAGTCTATGACTGAAATACCATGTTTTAGTAAAATTTCATAAGTAAAACATTTTTAATTCAAAATAATATTGAATTGATTTTTTTCAAATAAAATTTGAAATCCTTAATATAGGAATTTTAATTATTCACAGATATATCAAATTCCAACTTAGTTTTACTGGAATACGTCCCCTATTAATTTCAATTACAGTAATTTCTGTAAGTAATTCAATTTATTTTTCAAAGTAAATATGTATAATATGATCAAAATATTTGAAAAACATGAGATATTCTAGCGTCGTGTTTCTGAGAATTAAATTTCCTAGAATTGAGGGCCGAAATTTTTGATTTATAATGCTTATGCAATGCATGAGGAAAAATTTTGAAAACTGTAATGTACAATACTATTTGATATCGGTATTATTGGTATAGTTGGTATATTGGTATTATTGATATAATATTATTTGATATTGGTAAATAATTAAAATTTTGTATAACAGTTAACATTAACTCTTATACATATGTGTAAAGCAGTTAAATCATACTTTTATAATAGTTAATGTTGTCTATAATGTACATATAAATTATTGTTATATTTTTATACGGTATTTCTATTTTGAATAAACGCCATTTCCTCCTCAATTTGTACCTGTCTATTATATTGTTAAATAAGAATGTATATAGAATTTTAACTTATTAATTTTAATAACAAAATGCGATTTGTCAGCTATCATATATTTATATTTCCACAAAATCAATTGCTTATATTATTTAATAATAGAATATAACAATAAATTATTAGTATAGAATAAAAAAATTATAACAAAAACAAATTATTTAAGTAAAGATACAATTCTTCTCTTATATGGATTTTGAATATATCATTAATTATGAAGATTTGTTAAATTGTTCTACTCTTGCTAATTTATTCAAATAAAATTTGTGATACAATCAATTAGTTATGTACATTAAAATCACTTACAATTTAATATATTCATAAAAAATATCTCATTCTCTCATTCAGAATTTTGTATAACAAAAAAAAAATCTCAAAACATATTATTCACAATATAAGTTAAAATATTGTATATAATAATATATTCAAAAATTTTACCAAAATTTTTAATCAAATTAACTATTTATAAAATATAATTACCATATTAGGGTATAAGGATTTTTTAAATATTCTTATAAACGAGCCACAAATACTTTATTCTAAAATTTATTCATTGTTGTTCTATATTTGAGTATATTATAGAATAAAATTCTTAAACATTAGCTATATACATTATATTATGTTATACATTATTTATAATGTATAAAATAATTATAAAACAATTAAAAACTAAAATATTATACTATAGAATAAAAATATAACAATATCACATAAATAAACACATTCATACTTACACAACACACAATAATTTGTATGAGTAAATTTTTATAATATTAAAACCATTTTATTATTGTTAAATAATTTTTTAACCTTGACCATCAGCAAAATTTTCTATTGTTTCATATTCAATTTTCCTCCCAAAATAAAAAAAAATTCTATTCTAAAATACTTAATAAGAAAATCTTCAATTCGCTTTCAAAAATAAAAAACAAAGTTCCCAATAAAAAACGTATTTAAAATGAAATCAAGCATTAAATCGAAAATTAAGCTTAAAATGTTAGAAGAAATGTTCTATAATCGCTTTATCAACAGATGTTTGTATATATGTAAATAGTCTGCCATAGAATCCAAAATGACTATAGCGAATATAACGATAACTATGGTAAAATAATAAATATATACCTTACGTTACGTTACGTTAGGTTATGTAATAATCTTCTCATTTCATTTATGGTATTCTTATTATGAGAGAGGAGGGAATAATTCAGAGAAAAATGACGATTGATTGAGAGGAAAGGGGAAGCAAATGTCCAGACTTAAGAGAGTGTATACAGAAAGAGTTTATAAATAATTATTTTTTAATTATAAATTTTAAGTGTATATTTCGTTTCGGTCATTTTGTTTTTATAACCAAATTTGCAATATAACACTTAAGTGTAATTGTTTATATTGAAATATGTATATAACATGTATGTAAGTAAGTATGTTTATATATAAATACGTGCAAAAATTTATTAATTTTTTAATTAAATATTAAAACAAAAAAAAAAAATTCCAAAAAATTGTATTACAAAATTATTAAAAAATAAAATAAAAATTGTTATACACACCCCATTTTTATTATAATTATAAATTTTCACATCTCATAAATTATTTATAAAAATGTGCATAATAAATGTAGGTATACTTATATACTATATGTTGTATAACATTATTATATGTTTATTTTATGATTGTGTACTTATATATTTATTTGTATATATATATATTGTAATAGAAATCATATATGTATATGGATATAAGAATAAATTAATATAAGAATAAATTATCGGATAATTTAATTCAATTAATTAAATTATTAACTATTATATAATTAATTCAAATTAAAATTTTGTCAACAAATTATATAAAAAAAAATTTTGTACATATATACACATATGCGTGTGTGTTCATTAATAAAATTTTACATATATATTTATACGTAGAGGATTGTAATATTTGAAATAATCTAATTGCTCATATTAAATGAAAACTTTTATACTTTCATGGTATCAAATTAGAAGCAATGAATAACTTGTATACAACTTTTAGTTTTTTTGAAGATTGAAAATCATAATTGAGTTGATGTTTTATTTTTGATTGATATAATCATGGTTTTGGATATAAGACACTCCAGTGTAAGTTCAAGTGTTTTGTGGAAGTCAAATCATTCTACTGACTCATACAGTTGTAAGTGATCTCACTTCAAGTAAAATTTTTCGTTTAAGACAAAATATTACTAATTTTGGTTTCGATCATTTCTTTTTAATTAATTGAACCATTTTTAATTTATATTATATTTATTTTTTTTTTTACATTATGTATTTGGAATTGTGAGACTCATGAGATCAATTAGAATATTAAAAATTTTACTTTTTTAACGATGTATCTGTTTGGATGCTTGGGTACCATCACGTATAGTGAAACCTGCCTGGAGGTATACAAAGTGAACTACTATAACTTATTATCGAACAATCAATCGGGTTTCATTTGATTTCTTAACTCTTTTTGACTAACATTTGTAAATGCCATTTCAAACGATAAGTAAGGTTGTCTTTTGGAAAATTTTTGTGTATGTAGTCAAAGATTTACAAAAATCAGTACTAGAATGGAATATAACTTTGCAAAGATTGAAAATTTATTGAACTTTAGACCATCTATTTCTTGTCGAAATGCTATATAAAAATAAAGCTGCATATTATTCACTTAATTGAAGTGGCAGTAGAATAGTAATAGCATACTAGACAGATAAAACATTTTTTATTCCGGTTTTGCACCTATAGATACTATATTGGTATTAGGTGTCTTATTTTGTGTATCAATTTTTTTTTCTAAGTGTGGTAGATGAGTGAATTGAATATCCAAACAGTGAATTGCATATGTTCGAATAATATAATTTTCAAGTGATTTAATAGCAAATTATACTATTATTTCCCTATATAAATTTTTAAAAATTGCATATCTTGAGGCGTAAAATAAAAAGATAATCATTATTTACAACACTAAATATGTTAATGCTTTCTTTTTTAACGAAAGC